AGAGTGGTCTGGACGGCAAGGTGGAGATGAAGGAAGGTTTGACGCGTCGCGTAAAATGCGCTAGCACGTGATGGCGCTTGAGCTCCTGATCGTATCTCGGCCAGCGGGAATGAGACGAAACCTCCACACCCGAGCTTCTCAAATCGGAACCATAAATCCTCTAATTGACAGACATCAACATGGATTTCATCTACAGATACGATGTACTACCTTCACCAGGGCAAGCCCGCACCTCTCTGCGGGCATTCGGCGCTCACATATCGCGACGCGACTTCACATAACGAATGCGTGTTCTTCGACCTCGAGACTGCGATCTGGTCATGCGCAAACTGGATTCGGTTTCATCTAGCACCCCAATATGTTCTCGACTTTTCCTCGAAACTGGTCCGTCGTCATACAGCTCCATTTGCTCGTTGGTAGCAACCCAAAACATGTTCGCTTGTCTAACCGCAAGGCACAATCAACATATTGATTGACTTCACGATCAGCTTCCCTTGCGTATAGTCGCTTTCTCATAATAAAACAACGATTTTGGAGCATCACACCGCTTGCGCGTGTAATCATCACCGTTTGTGTACAGATATTCTTGCGAGTGTGCCTCTGACCAGCAAGCTGAATGGGTAAGCTGGAGGTATATTAAGGATCTGCAGTTCTGATGCAAAAGTCACACCAGAGCCACTGGGCAGTTTTAGAACAGCTATCTTCATTCCAGTCGCGGATACCCACGGTAATGGCAACACAGGCTGCCGAGAAGCACGACGCCCTGACAGTATGGGCCAACGACACAACTCACGACTTCTGCTACCCTCCTTCCGATTTACAAGTACCAGACGATCCAGTCAGAACGGGACCTGGTCGCGCATGGGATGAGGCCGACTTCGCGAAGAAACAAGCGTCACTGGCCTACGCAGTCAACAAGAAGAAACCACCACACGCCGGAAGATTTCCCATTCGGACCAAACCCCAACCTCTCGATAGCGGCTCGCAAACGATATTGACCAACCATTTCCAGCTGAAGACGCGCGACAAGGAACTCTACGAGTACGAAATTCTCGATCTCGATGCAGGCGGTCCGACTGGGAAAAAGATCCAGGCCTTGTTTCGTAAAGCAGTCGATACATGGCCATTCCTCAACGCCCACCAGGACAGTTTCGCGACAGACGGCCAGAAAACCATCGTATCTTGGAAAAGCCTGCACAGTAACATGGATCCTAGCACGCTCGAAGCAGGCGCTTCATCTACTTGGCACCGCGCTCTTGTAGTCAATAGCGCTATTACCATCCCAGCGCGTTTCAGCTTCGTTGGGACGGTCGATGTTGCTGGTCTTATCCAGCAGAGTGAGAGTAACCCGGACCGAGAGAAGACTGATCATACTTCCGCGGAGCGCTGCCTTGATATCCTTATTGCGAAGAGCTTTGACGCAAGCGTAGTCCGGCTTTCTGGAAAGAAGTTCTATGTAAGAAAAGCTCGCGCAAACCTTGGAAGTTCGAAGTCGCTTGAGATCATTCGAGGCTACCATTACGCTGTCAAGCCGGGTATGGGAAACCTGCTGATGAACTTCAACGTTGCGACTAGTGCATTCTTTCGTCCGATTCTTGTAAGCGAATTTCTTGCGGATCGTGGCACCTTCAGCAACGACTTAGAACGACAAGTCAATCTCAAAACTCTCCGGGTTTATGTAGAGTTCCCTCATTCTGAGGATCGTCTGAACAGGCCAGGTGCTCGTATCAAGAAGATCAAGGATCTTGGACCCGCTGTCGACACTGTGTCCTTCCGGAAAGTATCCAAAGATGCACAAGGACAACCGATAAGGGACATAACCCAACCAGGTGGTTGGCAACTTGATCCTCCTACTCAGGTAGTTGATCATCTGATGACAGGTAAGAAGACTCATGTATATCTGGTGCGTTAGCTAACGTCATCTCAGTGTTTGGTCAGTCTGCCGTTCCAGGTCGAAAGGCTGTCAATGTGGGATCAGCTGGTGACCCGGTCTATTACGCTCAAGAAATGCTTCGCATCATTCCTTATCAACTGTACACACGTCCTGTTCCCGATCGATTTACCCGCAACATGGTCGAGATGGCTGCACTTGATCCAGGTCAATCGCAGTGGCTCATCGAAAATGAAGGCCTTTCTCAACTTGGGTTTGCGAACGCTAAGAATGAGGAGGTTCAGTTCGTGAGTAGCAACTCTCCACATTGGCCGCTCTGGAGCTAACTCGTGTACAGCGTAATGATGTCCCACTGTCCTTGTTTCCGACGATGCTACAGGTGCCTGCCACAACACTCCTCTACCTTGAAGTCCAGTACCAATGGAACACGTTTCGCCCTGAGAAAGACAAGAAGGCGAACGACAAACTGCCATCCTTCACGCAGTCCGCTTGGAACCTGAAACCCTTCACAGCTTTCTACACCCCTAAAGTAGAGACGTTGAAATACTTCGTCATTCATTCATTGGGTTCGACAGTCCCCGTGGCCGGTTTCGAGACGGAGTTGCAAGATCAAATGCTCCGAAGATGCAATACGAAGGCCGAGGGGGTAGTCCGCTTGAATGCCAGCGAAGCTGAAAGTGAACTCGATGGCTCTTCCATGGAACTAAGAATGAAGCAAGCTAAAGAATCCGAGGCTGAGCTGGCGGTTCTGTTGCTTCAGAATTTCGACCGCAGCGCTTACTCGGAGTTCAAGAACCTGGCAGATCGCAAGTATGGGCTACGCTCTCTCTGTTTAGCAAAGCCGGCGCTATTCTCGAACTCCAAATACATGAGCAACGTTGCTCAGAAGATAAACATCAAGTTCGGTGGTGTGAACTCTTACGTGGCGAAGGTCAAATCTTTTTTGGGGACAACGACGCTCGTTCTGGGTGCAGATCTAGTACATCCCCCAGCTGGAGCACTCGAAGATACACCCTCTATTGCCTGTATGGTTGGTTCTATCGACAATCACGGCGGCTGTTTCCCGGGATCTGCCCGACTCCAAAGCAAGGACCGAGAGGTAAGTTCCACCGTTCATCTCCCGAATTCTATTGACAGTAACCAAGATAATTGACGAAGAGAACATTATGTCAATGGTCAAAGAGAGGATCAAGGCCTGGCGAGTTGACAAGGGGGGCCTTTTCCCTCTGAACATCATCTATTATCGCGAAGGAGTGTCCGAAGGTATTTCCACTGACAAGTTTTGTGTGTGGCCCATACATTGTTCAGCTTACTGACTTTATACCTTCAAACAGGACACTACCAGAAGGTAGTGAACGTCGAGCTGAAAGCTATTCGCCGAGCATGGAGAGAAGCACAGGCCGCTACCAACACCATCCTACTGCGCGGTGACAAGGATGTGAGACTTACGGCTTTGGTGGGTGTGAAACGCCACCATACCCGCTTCTACCCGATGACAGACAAGGATGCGGACACTGAATGGGGAAACAACAATTGCCTTCCTGGCACCTATGTGGACCGAGTCGTCACCTCGCCATACTATCGAGACTTCTATCTCCAGTCTCACAGCGGTGTCAAGGGTACAGCGAGACCAACTCATTACTTCATGCTCGCGGACGGAAGGATTCCTAATTGCACCACCATCGACGCGCTTCGGACGCTGGTAAGTTCGCGCTCGCTTCATTCCTGGAAACAGCCTAGAATCCTGACTCCATTACCCTTTGCTAGTTATCATAACAGACTCATAGTCTCTGCTACACTTACTGCCGAGCCACGGGCGGTATCTCTTACGCGGCCCCAACCTACTATGCCGACCGCTTGTGCGACCGAGCACGTCTCTACCTCCCCGAGTCCTGGGCCGCCAATAACGTGGGGCTTCAGGCCAGTATCGATACCGCAAGAACCAACCACTCGACTGCACGTCAGAACAATCGTGATCTGCTGTACCGTCAAGGACAGCAGTTCGACTCGACAGTGCATAATGCGAAGTCTAACGCGGAGCTTGCGGATGAAGGGCAAGACGAGGACAGCCTTCGCGCCTTCACCAAGGACTTCGTCATGCAACACGCCAAGAACGAGTTCTACGCGTACAAGACTGACCAAACGGGAAACCCTTGGCACGAGTCTCTCGACAAGATCATGTTTTGGATGTGAGCGCTGGCTCATAAGACGGAACGGTAAGTCGGTGATGGGTGTCTCATACTGTCCTGCCCTATTTCCCTCTGCCCTTCACTGTTTGATTGGATTTCCCTTCTTTCCTTTCGTCATCATGTCATTCCCTCGGTACTAGACAAACGTTGGGTAGGTATGCTGCTTATCAGCTAGTGACGTCCATTGCAACGTCAGGTTGCTACGTCACCTGCCCCCCTCTTCAATACCATCTTGTCGGTACCATCATGTTTGACTAGCGCTACCTTAGCGCCACCCTTGGTTGCATATAAACTTCCTCTCCCGTCCTCAAACCTCTTCTTCTTCTTTCTATTCATGGTGGCGAACTGGTGAGTTCATCGACCAAAAGCTCAAGTAGTTAAAAGCAATGTCTGTTTTTGGCCTGAGTGTCCAAAATGGATAGGTTTGCAATGTATGATCGATGTTTCTTCGTCTGGGGAGTCCAGGTGCGTGAAGTTTGCCCGACTGTCTTTTTGCAATATCTGCGAGAGGTCTTCAACACATGTGTTCGGTAATTTGGGTTTACATGAGTCAAAAAGAAGGGCAATTCGAGGCTATGACAGCTGGTTGATCGAGTCCATCGGGGTGTTTGCAAACGTCAAGCATCTTTGGACGACCTCGACCGTAGTCGTACGGCGGGAACAACATGGGTGGTTTATATAGCCTCGACGTTCTACAAGTTTATCGATAACTGGTGAAGATGTTCTGAGTATTGGGCGTGTCGCCATACTCAGCGCCACCACAGCCAGCATCGAAAAATTTGTTGGCGATGGTATTGGTCCACTGACTGCATACGACCTCGTCCCACATCAAAGACCTTGTAGTATGAGATATAGGGTTGACGGTGACTGTCCAGGACTACCTATGCTTCAAGGATTTGTATTAGGAAAGATGTATCATTTTAGTCCTCTAGCTTCTTCAACAAGGCCTTCATCTTGGCCAAGAGATCCGGAATTCTGAACGGCTTTCCAACAACATCATCCATACCCGCTTCCTTTGCGTCATCCATCTGCCCCCCTCGAATATTCGCGGTGACCGCAATGATTGGCACATGCTTCGTAATCTCTTTCCGTTCCTCCATCTCTCGTATCTTCCTGCAGCAGGTGAGGCCGTCCATCTCGGGCATCTCGCAGTCCATGAGAATGATGGTGAGTGGCATACCATCAGCATTGCAAAATTTCGATTTCGCGAGCTGCTTCAATGCCCAGACGCCGTTGTCGGCGGTATGTGTGACGCAGCCAGCTTTTGTGAGCTGTTTCACCAGTACCTTTTGGTTGACTAGATTGTCTTCGACGACAAGAACGTGAAGTCGGTCATCTTCTTCTTCGTCTTTCTTGTCGTTTGTGGGCTGGGGAATCTGTGCTTGTACCGGGGTCTCAACTTCCTTAGGCGTGGCAGCGGGCGCGGTGGAGTTCTGGTTCGCAGCTGCGGCGCTGATTTTGCGCGAAGATGCCGCGTGTTCGGCGTCTAGAGCGTGCTTCACTGTGTCCGTTGAGATCGTAGGCTTTTTTGCAATCATGCGTTTGCATTTCAAGTAGAACCCGAAAGTACTGCCGACGCCAGCTTGTGACGAGACTCCGATTTGACCGCCGTGAAGCTCGGCAAGTTGACGCGAGATGAAGAGTCCGAGACCGCTACCTCCGTATTGCATATGCGTTCGTGGGGACTTCAAATTGAGCATTTCGTCAGCCTAATTTTCGCAGTGATTAGGGGTTGGCGTCTACTCACAGCTTGCGCAAACTTCTCAAATAGCAGCGATATCTGCTGAGGCGACAAACCGCATCCAGTGTCCTGGACATTGAACCGAAGATAGACGAACGAGCCTGAGCCCCAACCCTCGCCGTTTCCGAATTCGCTCACGATTTGTCTTGGCGGAACAACTAACGGCGGGCGCATAGAATTAGCGCTTCACCTTCAGGATATTCGACTAATGCAGCTACTTACATTGGAATCCTTCTGGTACGCCAAAGTCTGGCGATTCCGCATGAGCACAGACATGAACTGTGATCGAGCGAACTGGTGCGTCCATAGTGAACTTGATGGCATTGGTAATAAGGTTGACGATGATTTGAAGGAGTCGACTTGGATCAAGAATGACCCAGTCAATTTCGAGATCTCGGATACTCTGATGCGGAACGAACTTGAAGTCGATGTTCTTGGCTTGTATTTCAGGACGGAACCTGTTAGGATGATGTCAGCCCAGCTTTCGTACATATTCGACTACAGGCTACCAACATTGCCATAGACCGCTGTACAACGATGATAGGCTGCGCTGGAATTGGAGTGATGCGGAGAAGATTCGAGTCCAGCTTTGAGACCGTGAGAATATCGTCGACGATCGACTTTTGATGCTGAACACAAAGAGCGATGTTTTCAGCAGCCTCGATACAGTCCTGGGCCATTTTTTGATCGCCAGTGCATGAGAATTTATAGTGCGTCAGAGTATCTTTGATATCGTCGGCACATATCAAGATCGCGGAAAGCGGGTCTAGATGTTGATAAACGCGTCAGTAGACATTTCGAATGCAATCTGCATAGGGAGGGATATCGCTACTTCTCATCTCGTGCGACGTGATGTCGATGAATTCGTTTTGTTGACGCTTCGCCTCTTCTGCCTCTCGTAGTCTTCGTTCTTGCAGACCCTGCGCCCACTTCAAATGCGAAATGTCCGTGAGCGAGCCCATGATGCTGATCAGCTCACCATCGGGGCTTAGCTCTGGCTGACTAGCAGAGAGGACCCAATATTCGATTAGTGAACCGTCGATATCTCGGGGCTGGAATGTCGAATTGGCGAATTGTAGCTCACGACTTGCTGGCTTATGGTGAGTTATCATATCTGAATGTTAAACTTCGTGGTTAGCGCTGGAAACATGCGACTGGCATGGCAATATCGCGTACAGTTCCACATGTCTTGTGCCACTTGCTTGCTCTCACCCACCATCATCTCAATAGTCCAAGGTAGTTTGGTTCCTGTAGGTGAGACACCTGTCATCTCGTAGTATTTCTCGTTCGCCTCCAATAAAAGTCCATCCGGATTGAATAGGTACATGCCCATGGGCGATAGTTCGGTCATTCGGCGCATTCGTCCGGTCTGAAGTTGGAGCTGTCGAGACATCTGTTCTCTTTGTAGGGTAGCCATCTCAGCGACTTCTTTGCTTTGCCGCACTTCACCTTCGAAAAGTAGTACTGACGCCAACGACGTGGCGATCTGTCTATTGAGCATGGCGATGAAAGACCTGTACTCATGATCATAAGCCCTTCGTGGATTGATGCCTATTAGTAACAAGGCACACACGTTGTCTGCATTGGTTGGTCGTAGAGGTAGAACTATGGCCTCTCTACAAGGATCCTTGTAGCCGCGCCATTCGATGATGTCTAACAGTGGCTGTGGAAGCGTATGGTCTTTGATGCTCAACATCCTGGGCTCCAGGGTCTGGGTAGCTGCTCGAAAAGCAGGTGTCAAGATACCATCGTAGTTCTTGAAGCTGAATTTGTCGGGAGACACTGCATGCCCTCTCGGCACGCCGATAGATCCTTCGAACACGCATGACTTGACAGACGTTGGCGTTGCATCTGAATGCGAGGAACCATTCTCAATGTCGTCTGCCTCGGTAACGGTATAAAGAAGCGCAAAGGGTACGTCGTATTCGTTGTGATTCAGGCCCTCCAGCACTCTTATCCAGAATTCTTCTGAAATGTGGGTGCGCGATTAGCGTCAGTCACATGAAGGATCGTCCATATTCACTTACTGACAGTACGTGTGGCGTTCATACGCTCCCCGAGGGATCGCAGTAACCACATTCTTCTACTGCTGATCGACTCAACCGTGGTATCAAAAGCATTGAGATAGACTACAGTTCGCATCTCAGTCAGCAGTTCCAGTATCTTTGGCTCAAGCCCACTGAGTCTCGCTGATAGGCGGTACGGCAACGTTTCGCAGTGTTACTCACACCCCAAGACCCGCTCTGTTCCACCAAAGACCGGAACCTGTCCATCTGTTAGATGTATTCATGGGGCCAAATCGAGGGCATCAATACTGACAAAAGACCAAGTAAAGAAAGACTCTTCCATGTAACCGTAACGCATGATGGGTAGCGGCTGGTTGTGGTTTAGCTGCGCATGGCCTGTCCGAGCACATTCGCGAATTACAGGACCAACCGCGTGCCACATTTCACCGAAGGGGCCTGAGAAACCGGTTCCCATCAAAGCCGGATGTTTGTCGCCCGTCACGTCGTCTCGATAGGCCTCATTGTAAAGCATGGTCAGGTCCTCGCCCCAGAAGACAGAAGATGGATGAGGGTTGCGCATGACTAAGCAGATGATCTCTCGGAACTGGATCGACCATCTGTTCATAGCTCCCAATGGTGTGTTTGCCCAGTCGATGCCCCTTACAAACTGTAGATGATCCGAGAGAACACCTCTGGGGTTCGGTGCTGTCCAGTCGGGTACGGACGAGTCAGGTGTAGACAAAGTGATCGCTGAGATGCTCGAGGAGCCATTTTTGTCACGGTCTTGGCCGAGGGAGACAATCGGAAATTTAGGTTGTTGCACATCCTCAACGATCTCCCGCGTCGGTATTGCCTCTGCAGAAGCTAAACTCTTCGCTACGTCGGCAGTGAGGTCGCCGTGCCCCTCTTTCTCAAGTCGCGGTGCTGATGCGCTCAGCGGATCCCCTTCAGGGATATCTTCATTCTGGAAAAGCTTGTGTGCGCTAATGATTCGCCAATTGGGAAAAATCGAAACACCAAGCCATAAAAAGTTCTCAAACTCGATGGTGATGGGAAATATATCCCGGGAGTCGTTGAATCGGCTGAGGATTGTCGTCCATATTCGAAACTCATCATGTGTTGCTCCCCCATCCAGGGAATCGCCATGGCTTGGCGAAGTGCCAATTACCTTCTCCAAAAGCTGGTGTTGCTCTCGGAGTGCTGCATTGCAAAAGATCGGTCGTATCGGATTTCGACACCCCTTCGAATATTCGTCCATGTTGAGCACGAATGTGGGTCTGCCATCGAGATCCAATAGCTGCGGAAGGGTGCATGTGTTGAGAATGTCAAGAGCAGCATCGTGCCGTTGGGCCTGGTGTAGGGTAGAAGGAGCTGTAGGCAGCGGTAACTGAAAGAACGAGCTACTCATTAGGGTCCAGATGGGAGATCGTGTCGGCCCTGCACGATGATAAAGCAAGGTACATTAGGAATAGGGAGGGCGTGCGTTTGTAGGGTCGATGTGCGACGTACAACGTGAAAGGTCGCGATGGGTCTGTGCCTGGGCCATAGAAGACGCTTTGAGCGTAGTAGCTACGGTTCCTGTGGGCGTGACTACCAAGACTGCGACAATCAGAATATGATTGGCAGGTACATCATGACGCAGACGGTTGCAGACATTACCATGTCGCCGATACATCGCATGCTGCTTAAAAGTATTACTTCCCCGTCGCAGCTATGCGAGCTCTTCCGCGAGCTGATTCATGGCTTCTCCAAGCCGGTAGGCATCATTTAGATGTCTGGGTGGCATTGCGACAGGCTTCTTCAACGTGGAAAAAAAAGAGACATCAATCGCATGCGCGTGATAAAAACTCATGGAGCGAGCACGGTGTCGTCCAAAAGATGGGACGCTGAAGTAGATGTCGCGTCCACGGGTGCGTCCCGGGACGGCTGTGAATCACGCTACCAACATGCCTGGTTTAAAATGACGTCACGCGTTTTTAGCACCAACACGGGATGTTCTCCGCATCGCAGAACGAGCAGATTGCATCAACAACAATCCTCTCTGATATCTTGGCTGATGGTTCTTGTACGATGGACCTGCGTCTTTGAATGGAGGGCATAAGCTGCTATTATGTTTCTATCCAAGACTTTGATGGAGCTCACGGCCGTTCGACTTCCGAGGTCCCGAGGCCCTTCTCACTGCAGGCATGGCATGATCCTATACAACTGACCATACAGACACCTTCAAATAAACTCGTGTTGCGACATTGCTAGTTTACACACCCAGACGAGCCGAGGGAACTCAGTGATAGCCCACGGCTTCAACAACTCCGAGCAGCTCGTCAAATCAGTCACCATGGAACACGCAGAAGTGAGGGGGAAAGAGAAAAGGTGGGAGAGTCGCGACCAGATGCTTGTATTTGTAGCGGGGTAGTTGTGGTAGTTTGCGGTTCAGTAAGTTTCGAGATGTCGACGCAGTAGTAGTGGTGCTACTAGCCACAGATTAACTGGGACTAGAAGTCTTGGGAACGAACAGCAAGTTTGTTCCTGTTTAGAACGCTAGCATCAGCCTGAAACATACATCCAGTGGTTCAGGCACCGGAAAGAGATATTGTGCGGGTTGAAAAAGAAGAAGTACGGGAATAATTTCCGCAGGGCTGACCGGGTGTTTGGGCCGCGCTTGTGTGCGGAGTGTGGGCCCACGGACATTTTATCAACGTCAATAAGACCCATCTGGCGGACAGAATTCCTCGTCCTTGAGAAGAATTGCATGTGTCTCCACAGCACGCAAACTTCATCGCCGATATCTTGGCGAGATGCTGAGCCGAGGTCGAGCGTGGTCAGGTTAAGAGACTGCCCAGGTGGTTGCCCAGGTGTGCTGGCAAGACTCGGCCAATCGCATCTCCACCACCCAGTCCGCTCACTTGGCTATGGGCGCAACTCCTCTTCCCTCCATGCACTCTCCACCGGCCAATGTTCAGGCATTCCTTGCTCAACCATCATCACTTTAATGCATCTTTAACACGTGCAGAAGGTTCGTTCGCGTGGATGGAATGCCGAATGCGCCAAAGCCATGCGTCAATCCGAACCTAAGCGGAAAGTGGGTTCGCGATGTCAGTGGCGCTCAACTGCCGCATTCGATAGTCTTCGAACCGGATCAAGTAAAGCAGCTCTTGATCTACTCAGGGGAGGGATCATGATCACAGTCGGTCCCGTACGCTAATGACTTACGTAGTGCAAGATCTACAAGGCCTATGCAGATCGATATATACCAAGATGCGCTTCCGCGACTGTTCCACCTGGTCGGCGACGCTAGAGCGGTGACAATGTAAACATTTCGTGCTAGACTGCGATGCAACGTTTGGGCTGGATGACGATCTTGAGCTTCACGACTCGTGGTGTAAGAATGGTTAAAGAAGGGTCGTATGCTTGCTTATCTTGATCGACCAGGGCCCTGCATCTCCTCATCTTTTGGTCGTGCTTGCTTCTTGTACCAAGGTCCAGCAATTGTCAACATGCGTCTCTCCATCCAATCGCTAGCTCTTCTGAGCGTTCTCCCTGCGTCGCTCGCAGCACCCGCACCATCGCCAGCTGCGGCACCTGCACCAATTGCAGCACCTGCACCGGCCGTCGATGCAGTCCAGGGTCTGGATGAGCGTCAACTGCTCAGCAAACTCACATCTGGGTTGACCTCCCTCGTTGGTGGCCTTCTCGGCCAATGTGACCAAGCAGTCAAGGACGGCGATGCCCCAAAGGTTCTCGACATCCTTCAGCAACTTCAGCCTACTTCGCGCCCAACGAACATCGAAGAGGCAGTCGCAAGGCACTCCCAAATCTGGGCGAGCCCGACCACGCGAACGGACTTTTTCGCCGCAGTAGCGACCCAGATAGCCGGTGGCCTTGTCCTTGACGACACGCTAAAGGCCGCTTTCACCGGCGGTCTGCCCTTCGGCGAGAACAGCATCAACAACAATAACCCAGCCACCTCCGGTATCTACCCGAAGAAGGATGCTGCTGATGCGCCATACACACTTTCCGAGTCAGCACTCCGAAAAGCACTCTTCATCCCACCTAGCTTCACCTACGGCGAGAAGCGCCCAGTGATCTTTGTACCCGGAACTGGTGCTTACGGAGGCACAAACTTTGCCAGCAACCTCAGGAAGTTGTTGAATGGCAAGAGCTATGCTGACCCTGTATGGCTCAACATCCCCGGCGCTATGCTTGCGGACGCGCAAACCAACTCGGAATACGTTGCCTACGCCATCAACTACATCAGTGCCGTCTCACGCGCCAACAAGGAGAACATCGCCGTCATATCTTGGTCCCAGGGTGGTCTGGACACACAGTGGGTGTTGAAGTACTGGCCATCAACCCGCAAGGTTGTCAAGGATTTCCTTCCCGTGTCTCCAGACTTCAAGGGCACTGTCATCGCGAACGCGATCTGCTTGACACCGAACAGCGACATCGCGCTCCTTCCCTGTGATCCCTCTGTTATCCAGCAAGAGGCTACCTCCGATTTTGTTGCGTCGCTCAGGCGCGACGGAGGCGACAGCGCATACGTACCCACAACAACCTTCTACTCTGGCCTCTTTGACGAGGTTGTCGAGCCCCAACAAGGCACCATCGCCTCCGCTTTCATCAAAGACGCGCGCAATGTTGGCGTCTCGAACAACGAGGTACAGAAAGTGTGCTTTGGGCAGCTAGGTGGCTCCCTCTACGGTCATGCCGGCGTTCTATTCAACCCTCTGACCTACGCGCTTATCGTTGATGCGCTTACGCACGATGGACCGGGTAATGTGGATCGCATTGATGTCAAGAGCGTTTGCAGTACCTACGCCGCTCAGGGTCTCGACCTTGACGATGTATTGGCTACTGAAGGGCTCATTCCTGTGGCTGGTGTACTGCTGTTGACGTACCCACAAAAGATGTACGCTGAGCCTGAGTTGAGGGCTTATGCTAGATAGATGCGGCTCACAGATAGTTACGTTCAATATCGCAATCAGTAATATATCTTGCAATTTGTTTCATCAACCTTGTTTAGCTATACTTTGCGTGGAAGCGTGGAAGCGTGGAAGCGTGCCCAAGCCAACAGCCCTCCAGTATGAACTCGCGCGTCACAACCCGGAAACGTACCGTCGTAAAAGCAAGCACTATGTAGGCTCCAATCAAGTGACAAAGTGATTTAGGAAACAAACATCAGTATCCTCATAGCAGTTCAGCTCACGTGCTGTTCCAGCTTGTCTCACTTCTTCTCCTTCTTCTTCCTCCCTCGCTTGCTGGCCGGTGCAGATTTTGTTGGTGGGTTATAGGACGGTTGAGGGAACGAACTCGTAATGTTCGAATAGCCTGGATGATGCGCGAAGGCTGGCATACCCGGTGGAGTAGCCTGCACACCCGGATGAGTTGGATAGCCAGGAGCCGGAATGGTTATCGCTTGTTGACCTGTTGGCTTCACTATGTTACCATCGGGGCCTACTACTCCCACTGCAGTGACGTCTTCTTTAGCGACACCATGGTCAAGAAGGAACTGATCCATCGCTGTGAGCGTAGTAGGGTTCTTGGCCTTGATAGCCCTGTTGATCTCCAGAATTCGGGCCACCTTCTCTGCTTTCGGGAGACTTTTGAAAGCCGGCATGCTAGCTGCAAGCTGAGCTGTGTCGGTCCAGTCTGGTGTGGCAGTAGTTGCGAGGGGTTGGGGAACGGACTTGGAGATGCCAGCAGGTCTAGCAAGAGTCGGGAGGCCAGGCTGAGTATTGCGACGACGGTTGGCAGTATTTCCGGACTGCGCGGGCTGCGATCGAGGCGCAATAGGGAAGCTGTGTTGCTTAATCTTGAGCTCTGGCGCCGCGAGCGCCTGGCGTGGCTGGAAGTATTGCGTCTGTGCTAAAGATGGATTACCCGCAGGCTGGTAAGAACCCAGTTGTGGGGAGTACTGCTGGATGGACTGAGCCGGTGTATACATCTGCGCCGTAGGAGTTGGTGCAGGGGTTGGAAGCTGGGATGGACCCATACTCCGCTGCTGTCCGACCTGCTGTAAGTAGTCCGGAAAATGATGCTGCTGAAGAGCCGGACGCGGTGCGTACGACAATCCTGGGCCGTTCACAGTGTCACTGAACTGTCTCTGCCCAATTGGCGACATCACTTCGTGTTGACGACCTTGTAGAGAACCTTGAGAGCCGGGTGACGGGTGTTGTAGTCCAAGTCCTTGCTGCTGATTGGGAAGCTGACCCTGTCTTCTTGCCCAGAATGCCTCGATCTCTTGGTTTCGACGTTGATAGTGCTGCAACTCAGGAATAGTCAAGGTTCCTGAGAGCCCAGGTTCAGTGAAGTCGCCCGGGTTTGCGTATAGCAAACGAGGGTCGATATCGTGGTTCGTGGATGGTCTTGCCGTCATCGCGAAAGTTGAAGTTCCTGGTGGATTATCCACAGATGAAGGGGTATAGTTTGGCACTGATGTGCATGTAAGTATCCACAATTAAGCTAAGAGTTCGCTGCAAAAGAGAGTCTACGGCCTGTGAAGCAGTTGAAACTTGGACAGCGTAGGAATCTTCGGTGTATATATGGCATTACCGAGATGAACGGGCGGAACTGTGAACAGTGTGGATTGGATGTAGGGCTTAAATGGGGTGAAGAGCGTTGTGCTTGTGGCGGGGTGGTAGCAAATCTGATGAAAGCGCGTACATACCTCTCGCGTTTTCGGCCGCAATCTGCGTGAGCCGTACACTCTCGTACTTCTTCCATGATTCACTAGGCTGCGCATTGCGATGCAGCAGCTCGTAGGGTCCCTTTAGCTGCGCCCGCCGGATGAGAAACCTCGCCAGAGGCTGCAGGTTATCCGTGAGTCCATTAAGCTCGGCTGGGAGGCCTTGGTGTCTACGTTCGATCGCGAAGAACACGCGCTCAAAAAAGAGATCGTCGCCATCGATAGAGGATTTCTGAAATGGATCAGCACCCCGACGGCGGTCAAAGTGAACAAATGAGGGAACTTACGGGCTGGAAGCTAGAGGTCTCGAACGCTCGCTGGACGTACGGCTCTATGTCGAGATCGTCACGCAACAAGTGCTTGAAGGCGTAGCGCAGGTAGGGTGTGAGGGTCTGCGCAACCCATTGCGGATAAACGGGGAGTATCGGAGCGCTCATTCTGGTGTTCCTGTGGCTGGGACAAAAGTCGTTGCGCGGTCGGTGAGGGGACATGTTGAAAGCGGCGACGAGGATTCAAGAAAGTGAAATCGCAGTATGCGAGACAATTCATCGAATTCACCACGACAAAGCTGCGACAAGGATCGAACAAAGTGAAAAGGGCAGAGTATATGAGACAATTTCCCAGCTTCACCACGAGAACCAGGGACAGGAATTGATGGTGCAAGATAGCTTACTGAGTTCGTTCCGACTTCACCACGACTTCCGTAGACCTGAAGCGGGTGAACTTTGCTCTATAGCATGTTGGAAATTCGAGAAGAATGACAATGACGATTGTCTTCGTCTACAAGCCGCATCCCGCGCGAGAATAGTGTCAACCATGGTAAGCAATTCATAAAGACGAAGCAGTCGTTGTCCTCGAGGTATTGCCTGAGACTATTCAAAGTAGTCTCGTAACCAGGTAGAGCGCATCGAAGGCTCGGCGGAAAGATAAAACTGGGGAATAGCTTGTACAACGCTTCGCATGCAGCAGGAAAATGCAGCGCTGCGTCTCTAGTAGAAGCTATCGAGTGTCTGAGTTGGCAGAAGTGATTTGAGATGAAGATGGATGAGGATTGGCAAGCGCAGTCGCGTCCGCATACGGGTAGGGGCGCGTCAGGGACGCGACTAACAAAAGCGGGGCGATGACGCACTCCCTATCATCCGCCTGACGACAAATTCGCACTTCATCAACGCTCATTGACATTTTCAGTACGAATCTCTCGGTCCAAACATCTGGCTTATACTAGTCGTATCTCGCAGCCTTGTGTGCTGACGGGTTGTCTCAGACCCCACGGCGAAGCCAAGGCACCAACACGGCGCAGCGCAACTCGGGCGCATAATACGCACATATACACGTCCTTCTTCTTGGCTACCGTCGATCGCATCCAACGAGTACCTATCCACTGCGTAAGCTTTCAGTATGGGCAAATCAACAATGCCATATAGGGAAGAACATCATGTGGCTGCATGGCTACTTTCCCTCTCCCGAGGTCGACAAGAGAGAGCCACATCAGCACAGCTATGCTCAAAGACTCGGCTACCTGTGTCTTGGCCCTTTGTTGTCAGACCGGGTCATTCGTAGGATTATCGTTACTCTGACCTAGCGGCGAGGAGAGACAATGGATGACGGCGTGGGGCGTAGTCGACTTTCACTTTTTTTTAGCCAGCCACTGACAGGAAGACGCGACACTCCACCGGCCACGCCATGTTTCTTGACCATTCCATGAGGATAAGTTGAGAAGGAAATCGATATTTGGCCACAGTTTGGGTCCTGCACGAAGGCAAAAAATATGCTTCATTGGTAGCGATGCAGAGAGAGAAAGCTGAGTGAGACCACCCAGTGAATTCACTTGACCATTCCGCCCCAATTTTGTCTCCCATAAAGCGACAACTCTGACCCCCTCGACTCTTCTAAGCACCTCCCAAACGACCACCGAGTACACCAATTTACTTCCGCTCGAATCACCAAGTTAAAATGAAGTTCGCTCTCTTCATCAGCACCTTGCTCTATACTGCCACTGTCCTAGCCGCTCCTGGAGCTGTACGCCTCTCTATACCTTCACCCTAAAGACTTCATTGACACTATCCTACCAGGTCTCCCTCAACCGCTCCTTCAAGACCATCGCAGTCCGCGACAACGATGACGTCGAGGGTACTGTGCAAGTTGCCTGTATCGAGTGTCCATGTGGAGTAAGTCTCCTCATCGTCGGCCTTTTCCTCTGCAAGGGCGGCGCATGGAGTATTATCAAGATTCACTGACGGCGCCTCCAGGGCTTTACTGGCGCTTGTGAATGCGTCTCGGGGGGATGCTGCTGTGATGATGACGGCCATGTCGAGGTGCCTGAGGGTGGCTGGAAGGCTTAGACAACGGCCGTGGTCAGCGCCCTAGCAATCGTTGTCCAGTCTTTGGTCTAGCTGTCATTTCTTTTCACGATGGCCTCAGGCAGTATACCGTCTTGAGCATGTTGGTGGGTACTGCTGTTTGCATCACTCCATTGTTACGAGACGAGTGGACAACGAAATTGGAAACATCTTCTTGATTGAGTCTCAGGCATTGTCACTGCCTAGTCATATAGTTTGAGACGTATATCCATGATCCTTGAATCCTGTCATTTGCCGTGAAGTCGTACATCCATCCCTTATACATCTACATGCTTGCACCCCAGAAGACCCCACTCAGGATACGTCCATTCTTGTCTTGTGGTGACAAAGCACACCTCAAGAACGAGGCCAAGTGCAGTTCTGCTTGAGACAGCAGCCGTTGACGACACATGTGCAGCCACCGTAGAACCCCTAGACGCATATTTATCAGCCAGGTACAGTGTTGTTGGTTCTGCGATAGATAGCAGAGGAGACAACTTACGTTGCATGGACACTCGACACATGCCGTGAGAGTATCGGCGACTGTGGCACCGCCGCCATCAACGCCAGTGTCGGCCTCGATGAAGGAGCGCTTGAGGGAGATCTTTGGGAAGTGACTGTCAGTAATAGTCTCAAACAGGATGATGGTACATGGGGATTAGAATTTACAGCTCCAGGGGCGGCCATGGTTGTTCCGAAGAGGAGAGTGGCGATGATGGTGGTAGCCTTCATGTCTGCGACTTGGTGCTTGGTTGCTGGATGTAATGGAGATTGCCGTACTGAGTGTGATGGAAAGTCTGAAGCAGTTGATGATTGTGAGCGAAAGCAAGGTGAGGATCTTCAGCAAGGAGAAGGAACGGGGGATTATATGCTGTGTGCGACTGCTTCCCCAGAATGCGGGTAGCTAGCGTAGAAACTTCACACAGCAAGCACGCCCGCGTTGAGCCTGTTGAGCCTGTTGAGCTTGGACTTTTCAATCTTCTAGACCGCTAGTGGCTGTTATCCTCACCCGGTAGGAGGTTAATGTGCTCACGGCAGGAGTCGACTATGCGATTGCGCCTTCCAGACTGCGTCGGCCTGCCACGCATCCCGAGGTCGCTCTTGAAAAGGCCGGCCTGGAGCTGGAGCTTTAGTCTCCATCGTGACGGGTCTATACATCCCTACTGGATGAGCCACTTCAAGGATGCTCTAAGAGTTCCTGTAATTTCCAAGCTCTTACTGAGTCCTTCCAATTGTGCCTGCTCTGGCAGTGTGAAGTAGTTCAAAATATGTCTTGAGCTGATCCTAAAGTCATTCTCCTTGACTTTTGCAAACAAGATTACAAGACTGATACAGTGCAACAAAGACGGTAATGCAGTCGACTAGCGCGACTTCACGTAGATACTATTCGCGAGACAAACCCGACGTAATTCAACACAAGCAAAATGACTTCCACGAGTGAGAAGGCATGGAGAGCGGTGTTGCTCGACGAGAGCCCGCCTTATTACAACATGTTCAAGAAAGCAAACGAATAAAGGAGGTCCTGGAGCAAGTAATTCGGATGGGATGGCTTGTCAGCTTCGGACATGGATTTGTATATAGAGGAAGATAGAGTCGGTCCATTGAATCTTCGAGGAAGGGAGGGTTATGCCGTTATGTTCATGTTCGCTGCGGGGTCAAGTCGAATAGAAAGTAAAGGGAGTGGAGCGGTGGTTGCGACTCCAGGGCTGACTCAGGTGCCAATAAGTGCCTCGTGCGCAAAGACAGCCGTCCGTGGTCATTTCGTCACCAAACCTCGCTCTTCCATTGACTAACCCAAGGAGCCTCTGCATGCCCATTTCCAATGAACTCGTTGAGCGGCGTGTCTTCTTCACGCAGCAGCAAGAACGTCTGAACGGTCTAGCCTCTGCGCTGCAGGGTCCCACACCTGATAGCTTCACGTCGACGTCATCATGCCGAAACCGCGACGCGCAACGCCCTCTTCAACAGGCTGCCGCGGCCAGCGAGGACGATATACCACCTCCAATATGAGGCTGTGATCTCTACGACACTAACTTGTAGCCTCTGCCAATATTATATGCCTCTCTGGACCAAGTCGTCGACCTCCGCGCTGCCCGCATTGCAGCCATCACCCAGTTACCTCTCGAGAGTTGCGCGCATCGCTTGTGGCAGACACATCGCAAACATGTCGACTGATACAAAGCAGCAAAAGAGCGCCAAGTTTGGCCATCTGCCTCTATCCACATCTGGGCCACAGGAAACCAGCCTGACTGTATGTCATGCACACACTCGAGTAGCGACGGGGCTAACACACTGTGTAGGGCAATGCACTTCTACGAACACCCTACTTCAACAAGGGCTCGGCCTTCACCAAAGAAGAGCGCGATGTCTTCAAGCTTCATGGGCTCCTTCCCACCAATGTCCAGACCCTCGACGAGCAGGTCAAGCGCGCATACGCCCAGTACTGCTCCCGACCGAGCGACCTCGCCAAGAACACCTTCATGACGAGTCTGAAGGAGCAGAACGAAGTGTTATACTACAGGGTATGCGACGGTTGATGGTGTCGGTCATGGCATGGCATGGCTGACGGCTGCAGCTCATCCTCGACCACCTCAAGGAGATGTTTTCGGTCATCTACACCCCCACTGAGGGCGAGGCGATTGCCGACTATTCCAAGATCTTCCGGCGACCTGAAGGTTGCTTCCTCAACATCGACGATGCAGACCGCGTCGAGGACGATATCAAGCAATGGGGAAATCCCGACGATATCGATGTGATAGTCGTGAGCGACGGGCAACAGATACTCGGCATTGGCGATCAGGGTGTAGGAGCCATCCTCATCAGCATAGCGAAGCTCGTCATCTACACTCTGTGCGCAGGTATACATCCTTCGCGAACACTCCCTGTGGTCCTTGACTGCGGCACCGATGTCAGTAGAGAGACCCGAATCAGATGCGCATTGCTAACGAGAGTAGAACAAAGACCTTCTCAACGACGAGCTTTATCTTGGCATGCGAAAAGAGCGAGTATACGGCGAGCGATACGATGACTTCGTCGACAAGTTCGTGAGGGCTGCGAGAAAACACTACCCCAAAGCCTACATCCACTTCGAGGATTTC